GCTTGTGGAAAGGAATGGACAAATCTAATCGAATTCACGCTGGTGATGTGGTCTAAGATTGAAGTAGACATTGAACAACTTGCGACACCACAAGACTGACGGGACGAACCGGAGTAAATAATTGCTATGCTTTGGCCCAACCAATCAAAGAAGACCCCGACCGGATGTGGTCGAGCAGGAGCTCATGTCGTCGACGCAATTGGAATTTGCAGATCGTGGCAAGATCTTTCTGTGATATTATTAGTTTATGCTTCTTCAGAGACGATCGGGGATTTATCTTTCTCAATTCTTTCTTTTTTTCATTTTAATTGTCTTGATTAGACCTGGTATAAATTCCTTCGATCGGTGGTGTCAAGCCATATCACTTCACGGCAAGATGGACGAAATGATGGTGGTGATTGGGCTCCTTTTGTCTTCTCTTCCTAAGTCAATTTTCCTTTGAGAAGATAATGATGACTGAGCCACTTGATGGTGGTGGTGATTGAGCTCTTTTTGTCTTCTCGTCCGTGGTTAGCTTTCCGAGAGAGAGAGAGACAGACAGACGACGATCACCACCACTTCTGAGCTGCTTGATGCTGCTGGTGATTGAGCTCTTTTTGTCTTCTTTTCTTAAGAAAGTGGTATATCTTCTTCCGACCAACCATGAATTACAAGTTACTGACAGCATTCACATGTAAATTTAATCGAAATTAAACGAGGGTAATGTTAATGCGCTTGTAATCTACCCATCATAGACATGGTTAGAGAGATAATCCTCCAACCAGGGTTTGAGGAAAACATGGGTCACTACAAAATACATGTTTCGATGCATTCTCGCCTTGTGATTGATATGTTTCGTCCAATTCATTAGATAAAGAGAAAGAAAATACATGTAAAACAAGAGAAAGGCTCTAAAAGTTTGATACATTGAACTTGAAACATCTTACAAAATGTATTTACCAAATCTTTTTCGTTCTGACACAAAATACAAGCTCGCTGATGTGGAAGAGATCAATGCCATGTCAAAATTTGAGCAGCCACATCGTGCAACGACATGGTGCAGTTGCTTATATGGTACAAGCCCGAGGTTTTTGTAACCTCTTTATTACATTAGATTAAATCCGAACGAGATCTAAGTTGGTGTGCCCCCACAAAATAAAACAAAAAATGTAAAAACACAGGCCATGTGCAGTACAAGGAATTGGTGCAATATTTTGTTTAAAAGTGAAAACAACATTGAGCACGCCATTCGTGGACCTCTACTTTCTACTTTTCGAATTTCGAAACGACAAGTAGTGTTTTTTTTTTTTTTGGGTAACCGAGGATCCGCCACCATTCCTCGGGGACGAGCCCACACAGGTAATCGGAGCGCCTATACCTCGAGGGAGACTAGCCCAGCAACCCACCGCCAGGGCCCCCCACTTAAATTACGGAACCAAGCGGGGATTCGAATCCAGAACCTCTGAGGAGGGAAGGAAAGCGCCAATCAACTCGGCCATGCGTAGGTGGGTAACGACAAGTAGTGTTTAGTTTCATAAAAATTGAAACTTAGGTAAGGCCAAAAGTAAAATTCAAAGGAGGTGTGAAATGGACTAGGCACAAACATCAAGCCGGGTGAACTGGTTATCATTAAAAAAACTTGGGTGAAGAACAGCAGAAGTGCCAAAACTTGTGTACGACGCTCACTTTAGTGCCAAAAGTTTATTTTGGATCACTTTAGTGCCAAAATTTTTGAAAAACGATCACTTAAGTGCCAACTCCCGTCAGTTTGGCCGGAAATCCGACGTAGCCTTTTTTTATTAATTTCTGAAGCTGATGTGGCTCGCCAGAGGATTTAGTCAGCATGTACACATTAAAACAACGTAGTTTAGCATGTACACTTTGATTTTTCAAGTATTTTTGCTGATATTTTTTCCTTCTTTTCTTTTTTTCTTCTCTTTCTTCTTCTTCTTCTACCTTCAGTCACCGCCGATGACCGGAGGTTGGCCACCAACTGCGGCCAGCCGCCTAGCCTCGCCCGAACGAGGCCACCGTCGCCCGCTACAAGCGAGGCCCGACCGACCCTCGCCTGGGTGAGGGCGGGCGAGCCCCTGCAAGGGTCGACCTCGCCTCGCCTCGCCTGGGCGAGGGCGAGCCCCGGTAAGGGCTCCCTCGCCGGATCCGGCGAGGGGCGGCCTCGCCGGATCTGGCGAGGGGAGCCCTTGCCGGGGCTCGCCCTCACCTAGGCGAGGCAAGGCCGACCCTCGCCAGATCCGGCAAGGCCGACCCTCGCCAGATCCGGCGAGGCCAGCCGTCGCCGTGGCCACGGCGGCCTCGCAGGGCGTCGCCTTCCCCCGAGCGACGGCCGGCCTCGTCAGATCTGGCAAGGGCGAGCCCCGATGAGGCGAGGCTAACCCTCGCCAGATCAGGCGAGGCCGGCCGTTGCCCGGGGGAAGGCGACGCCTTGCGAGGCCGCCGTGGCCACGGAGACAGCCGGCCTCGCCAGATCCGACGAGGCCACCGTGGCCTCGCTAGGGCTCGACCTCGCCTAGGCGAGAAGAGGTCGACCCTCGTCGGGGCTTGCTCACCCTCGCCCAAGCAAGGGTCAGCTAGGCCTCACCTGTGGCGGCGACGGCAGCCTCGTCCGAGCGATGCCAGTCGTTGGACGTGGCCGGCCTTCGGTCACCGCCAGTGACCGGAGGTAGAAGAAAAAGAAAAAAAGAAAAGATGGAAAAAAAATCAGAAAACATATTTAAAAAATCTAAATGTACACATGGAAATGCCACGTAGACTTATTTTTTTAAAAAAATCTAACTAAGATTAAAATTTTAATTATAAAAGCCACATATTAATTTGGTCGGAATTTCTCGCCGTTGGCACTTAAGTGATCGTTTTTCCTCTAATTTGGCACTTAAGTGAGCCGGCGAAAACTTTTGGCACTAAAGTGAGTGCCGTACACAAATTTTGGCACTTCTAGTGTTCTTCTCCCAAAAAACTTTGAACATTTTTTCCATTTAGTTGTCGGACAGTGTGTACAAACTGCTCCAGTGCAATAGAACGTCTGATATTTGTGCAGATTTCTATTTTCTATCAGCATAGTTTAAGAGATAAAAAGACGCAAAACAAAGTATAGTGTTTCGGCTTCGTCCAATTGGCCAGCCCATGTCTACTTCTCCGGTTGATGTTCATGACAAGTATAGAACTTGCTGCTTCCGCATCGAAGCTTTTGCACTACCTTCTACAGAAACAAGCACTTCTGACCATGCTCAAGAATTAACAAAAGCTCACTCCCTTGACAAGGACAATACAATCTAAAATCACTCGGTTTTATACATAGGGAGAGTTGTTTGTGGACTTCTTTTAAGCTGACAAAGCCCTCCGAGCATTGATGGGACCGTCGGAGGCTCCATTCAGCAAAGTAGTCTTCTACCGGTTACAAAATTTTCTGCTGTTGGGCATTAATGGGCAGTTTCTCGTATAGAACGAACAATTTCGGCCGCCTGCCAAACATCTTTGCTGGTCAGCCAAAAATGGCAAAACTGTTCTGGTCGTTCTCCAAGGGCTTTTGGTGAATCCTATGTTTGAAAACAGTTGTAAGGTACTTTATTCTGAGTCTTCTCTCTAGGAATATAAATGAGTGAAATAGGACTATCTACTTCATCAATAGTCGGTCCTTCCAGCTGCTGACCTCCTCATATCTTGTAGATTGTTGGATTCACATTTCCACTACTTATTCACCTTCTATAATATCCTTTCAACTTCGACACGGAATAAGGATACTAGTAGTGCCTTAATTTTGTACGGCGCTCAATTGAGTGCCATAACCTTTTTTTTGCTCACTTGAGTGCCAAAAATTTGAAAAAGTGATTACTTGAGTGCCAAATGCCATTTGGCAGCCAGAAAATCTGACGTAGCTTCACCGGAGATGACGTGGACAATATTTTAATATTTTTTTAAATTTTTGAATTTTTTTTATTTTTGCAAATTTTTTTTTCAATGCCGACGAGGGTCACCGGCGACCCTTGCCGGCTGCGAAGGCCTCACCTAGATTGGGCGAGGGCCGCCATGCCCTTGGCCGCAAAGGCCCTAGGCGAGGCCGCGAAGGCAGTCTCGCCGGCCGTGGGCGAGACGGCCTCGCCAGATCTAGCGAAAGCCATCACCACCACGAGCGAGGCCTTCGCCACCTCACCCGCGCCGGCGAGGCCGCGATGCCTTGCCAAGGGCTTTCACAGCTGCGGGCAAGGCGGCCTCGCCGGATCTAGCAAGAGCCTTCGCCACCATGGGCGAGGCGGCCTCGCCGGATCTGGAGAGAGCCTTCACCACAGCGCCCGCGGCCGGTGAGTTCACGATGGCCTCGCCAAGGGCGTTCGCGGCCGCGGGCGAGGCGAGCTCGCCGGATTTGGCGAGAGCCTTCGCGGCCGCCAGCGAGGGTCACTGGCGACCCTCGCCAACCTTGAAAAAAAAAAGAAAAATAAGAAAGATAAAGATAAAGATAAAGATAAATTAAAAAAATCAATAAAATAAAATAAAATAACATTAAAAAAATCCACGTCAGATGAAAAATTAATTAAAAAACTCACGTCAGCTCATTTGCCGGAAATGGCACTCAAGTGATCTATTTTTGCCGGAAGTGGCACTCAAATAATCTATTTTACTCCGATGTGGCACTCAAGTGAGCCAAAAAAAAGTTATGACACTCAAGTGAGCGTCGTACGAAAGTTTTGGCACTCCTAGTGTCCTTATCCCACTTCGACACATTTCGCATTCGATAGCATGTTCACCTTTTGTGTGTATTTGGTACCTGTATTTGTAATCCATCGATCAAAAGACGAAGAAAAATATGGCCCAAAAGGCAAAGTGGAATTGGTTGAGAATGTTGGGTTCCTTGCTTGTAAGAAAGACTGATGGCATGTACTCGTCACCATTGACCGAATCATGGGAAAAAAAATGTCATTACCCTTTCTCCTTCCATTTCCATAGCCGACAGGACCATAAATTATGTGAGTATAAGCTTTTACCTATACAATAACACTATCGAACTCGAAGAAGATGACATCATACTAGTTTCAGAAAAACAAGCTATAACGACAATACTTGATAATTCGTCCTGACGAGGTAGAACTGAAATCTACACGAAAGTTTCAAAGTAGAAATGTAACTTCTAAGACTTGGAATTGAGTTAATTACTTTTTAAGTACAAGATGGATGAGAGATTATTAGGCTTCTTTTCAATAGATTCACTACCTTGAGATTCATTGTTTGTTAGAAGCAATCTTAACCTTCATATCATTGATGAAATCATTCAAGTTCTTCTCCGACGACCCATTGGGACCCAATGCATTGTCAAGAGTCTTCCTCACCTCTCTCACCTTCTTCCTCCGCTCATCGGCCAATCCGCCGATCATCAGCCGCCTAATCTTCTGACCAACCTCCTCTCTTGTGACCGACTTCTTGTCCCTCAGGTTGACCCCGATTCCCCAGTCGTCGACCACCAATTTCCGATTTGTAAATTGGTCGGTCAACAGGGGGAAGCACAACATCGGAACGCAGCACCAAATGCTCTCCAATATCGAATTCCACCCACAATGCGTCAAGAAACCCCCGATGGATGAGTGCGACAATACTTCAATTTGGCAACACCATGGTACGACCAATCCTTTGCCCTTGATCTGGTCACCAAACCCGGGAGGCAACGGCTCAGATTCGTCCGAGCTCACTATGTCGGGACGAAGCACCCAAATGAAGCTCACTTCGCTAAGCAAAAGGCCATAAGCTATCTCCCAAATGACTTGCTTACTAGCATGAGCGTAGCTTCCAAATGAGATGTACAAAACCGACCCACTTGGCTTGGCGCCGAGCCACTCGGTGCAATCCGACTCGGACCACAGGCTCGTAGCCACAGGGCTCTTGGCGAACCCGGTCGGGAATATGGGGCCGATTGCGTAAACTGGTTGTTTCTTTTGCAAGGCTGATAGGGTATCCGGCTCAAGCTCTTGGACCGCGTTACAAATGATCATGTCCGCTTTCTTCACGTCCTCGAAGGCCTTGTATATAATCCGGTGGACCACCGTCCGTGTGTTGGCAGATTGGAGGTACGATGCTAAGTCCTTCCGTTGGATCGAACGGACCCCCGGCACATAATCGATGGCGTCTTCCTGATTATCTGATGATCAAATCTGATTATTTTCACCATGTAGCAAAGAAATGCTAGTGTCTGGAAATAAAACCACAGAGAGAGATTAAAGGGCACGTTCATATAAAGACGTGTCGTGTGTATGTATATGGCTAGATTTCACCCCTCGATTCTTTGAATTCGATTCATTTCCTTTCAAATTATCATGTACTCAACTCTTATAGTACTATATCCAGAAATTCATGAATAGACTTTTTTTGGGAGGGATAATATGTCCAGAAATTACTCATTAATTCAATTGATGTTAATAATATATATGGTTAATCATATGAATGGTCATGTGTATGTTAGTGCAAATCCAAAAAGTGGATATTTCCGTATTGATGAATTAATAGAAAGAGAATTGCTCTTCTCTGTATGATACGTGGTTCAAGTATTGTTGAGAGCATTTCAGAAATAAAATCTTGAAATGCTCTGGCCGATGAGGGGAGTGCACCCTTAACATTGTTTGAGAAGGTGGACCAGTCAAGGTGCACGAAACTCAACCCAGACACCATTTGACAATTGTACCCGTTATACCAAAATAGTACTTAAGTTGGCATGTACCTTGAGCACCAAAATGACCGTTTATGCGTAGAAGGTCCAAATGATAATAAAGAGTGAGCACCAAAGCTGGTTCGGTCCAAAAGGAGATATTGACAAGATTGTACTTCTCGCAAATCATTGAAGACCACACAAAGAAGGTGTCAACTATCAAGCAATTCACTGGCGGCTCCGACGCGGCCAATTTCCCGACGAGTTCATCCGCGTGAGCCGAGAACACATGTAGAAGACCCTCCATGAACTGGTCGTGGTGGAGCGACCGGTCGAACCCCAGGGGAAAGCCGTCACTGACCGTTGCATAGCGTATGTCAAGGCCGGATTTCCGGGCTCCAGCGAAGATGTCCTCGGCTTTGGGATCGTGGTTGTGATGGCAGGACTTGGTTATTTGTTGGTGAATGAATTGGGTGTTGACAAAGGTGATGGTGAAGCCCCTTGATGCAAGCTTCATGGCAAGATGGACAGAAGGGACGACATGGCCTTGGAGAGGGTAGGTCATCATGAGGGCATGAGGCTTTTGGTGATTGTTCTCCATCTTTCTGCTTCTCTGGAGAGAGAGAGAGAGAGAGAGAGAGAGAGAGAGAGAGGGAGGAGGTGTTAATACATAGTTGAGAAGTGAGGGATGAGGGTCATATATATGAAATTAGAACTCTGCAGAGAAGTCACAGATAAGAACAAAGATGTGACCTTAGAAGTAAGGAGCTAATTAGTTGATTGATGATGAGGAGGAAGAGCTGCTTTAGTGACCTCAATGTTTCCTGGGGATGGTCCACAATCCACAGGTAATAACGTCGTGTTTCCACTAACTAAGTCGAATCCACGTGTATTCCCCGTTGGATTTTATTTTGGCCCAAGTGATTAATGGACCATATGTGGTTTAGGTTTAACAATTATTAGGTGCTAAATTTCTATTGGTCAATAGAGAGGTGCATTCTAATTACTGTATACCTTGATGGATGGTGTGACTATAAAATGCCCTAATTAGAAACTGTCCTCTCTCAATCCTAAAAAAGAACGACAGTTTTCTCTCCATCAAGAATGTCAGAAAACCTAAAATGGGTCAAGAAAGAGAAACATATTTCTTTAAAGATTTCTAATCTACAATTGGTTTCTTCACAAGAAATAATCACGGATCAATGTATGCCTCTCATCTATTATGATATTGTGAAAATCATCTTGATCTTACATGTGGTATTAGAGCATGGTTTGAGAACTTGTAATTTTCCATTGACAGTTTGATTGATTAGAAAAGTTTATTGATGTTTGCCCTAATTGTGAGATTTATTTACTGGCCCGAAAAAATTAATAAATAAATAAATTGAATTGATTAAATGTGTTTGCGGCCCGCAAGGTCGGGACGCGTGGCTTGTGGGTGCACCAGAAAGGTGCGCATGATGGATGCGTTGATGATGGCAGCGCATGATGCATGGTTATGTGCCAGGTGGACGCGCACGGCACCAGGCGCGCTGCCCACCCAGTGGCAGCTCATGTGCTGCACTTTTGGGGATTTTCTTTACTGCATGTGAACATAATGTAATTTAATTTGTCACACATCAATAGATTGGTTGCAATTGATTTGTCCACTGTTTATGTGCCATCTCTAATTTTTATTGAATTGATTTGGCCATTAATAGACTAAGGCTCATGCACAGTGGGTGGGTGTGCATCAAGCCCATACACCATTAATTTGATCCATGCTGTGCGTGTCCATGAGGGGATGCCACCAAACCTTTATTTCATTTTATTGATAATACATATATATTTTTTTGATTGATTGATCTATTATTTTCCGCTGCAATTTGATTGATGAGTAAATTGATGTTGAATAAATTGCATATGTGTATATCTTTAGTATGGGCCTATTATTGTATAAATTTACATATACATCACTGCAATTTTCTTAATTGTACAATTAATTGTATTTCATTCAATTGAAATAATTATTGTTATGATTATTTAATTTGATATCTATATTATGTATAATTCGTTAGTCACCAAAGTGGCCGAATTAGAAAGTTTCTCATAGACGTCAAATTAAATAAAATTCAATTACTCATGTTTATGTGATGCTACTAATGAGATGACATGATGTTATACATTATGTTGTCATGGGTAATTTGAAGTTCATTGATTATAAAATATTTAAGAATCGCCCAAAGGTTGATCGGTTAATTTTATAATCATGAACATAATAGCGGTTAATTAGTATACTTGATTAGATATGTTTAGCATATCCAAAGATAGCAAGCGTGTCTAATTGGAGTATATATAATTACCAATTATGTGAAATTAAATTTAAGCATCAATTATGTTTTATGGTTGTACATTGTTGTATCACCCAAAGGAGAACTTCGATGTACATTTAATGTTGTGTGATTTTTGTCTGAATCTGTGTTATATGTTTAAGTTACGACTCAAAGCATTAATGTGTGAGCATCCTATGTATTTTCAAGTATCTGTTTCTGTTTCTCTTCATTCGCAAGCTTTGTCTATTATGAAGTTCAATGGGCTTAACTTTTCTAAATTGAGTGAACAAGTCAAGTTTCACCTAGGTGTTATTGATCTTGATTTAGCACTCATGAATGATAAGCCTGCTGCTCTTACTACTTCTAGCAGCATTAAAGAAAGGTCTTTCCATAAGGCTTGAGAAAGATCAAACAGACTAAGCTTAATGTTCATGCGGATGACAGTAGTAAACAACATTAAGTCAACCATTCCTGAAAATGATAATGCTAAGGAATTTATGAAGTTAGTGGAAAGTCGTTCTCAGTCTAATTCTGCTGATAAGTCAGTTGCTTGGACATTAATGGGTATGTTAACCACCATGAAGTTCGATGGTTCTCGTACGATGCATGAGCATGTCACTGAAATGGCAAATATAGCAGCAAGATTAAGTTCCATGGGAATGAAAGTTTCGTTGTGCAGTTTATCATAAATTCCTTGCCTCCTTAGTATGGTCCATTCCAAATAAATTATAATACTATAAAGGATAAATGGAATGTGACTGAAATGTAAAGTATGCTCATTCAAGAGGAAACAAGACTTAAGAAGTAAGGAATCCACTCTGTCAATCAGGAGCTAAAAGAAAACCAAGGAGGAAGAATGGAAAGGCTAATAAAGGACCACTAAAGATTAATGAGTCATCTGTCCAAATCCATAAAAAGGAACAAAAGAATGATAAGTGTCATTTCTGCAAAAAACCTGGACACTATTAGAAAGACTGCATGAAACGTAAGACATGGTTCGAAAAGAAAGGGATTCCTTACGACCCAAACCATAAATCCAGATGAAAAGTTTATTTTCATGAGGAATAGAGTCAAAGCTTCAGTTGAAGCCATTGGGACGTACCGTTTGATTTTGGACACTCGGCATCATTTAGATCTTTTCCAAACCTTTTATGTGTTGGAGAAACATCTCTAAATGATTTTGATGATACCCAAACTATCATTGGTATAATATCTACATTGTCTAAATGCAGATATATTCAAAGGACTGAATGATAATCATAATGTTATTCATTGAAAAAAAGATCACAAGACTGTCCTTGAAGGATCGTGTAAACAGCACCATCAATCTCAAATACCAGCTAAATGACAATGTCTTGTTCAAGCTGAAGAGATCTAGTAATTGGTGATGTTTAAGTAATGGTTCATTTAATATAACCGTTATGTTACTATAATAGCCGTTGGGACTGGACAAGCACAGCAGAAGATCCGGCAGAAAGGAGAAGAGCCGTTCTGATAGGTAGTCAGTATCGCAGCTACAGTAAAACAATAGAAGCTATTTCGGAAAAGTCTGCAGAAGTTCAGGAATAGGCTATATGGGCAGTTAGTTCCGAGGACAACGACTCTAACGGCTACTTTACCTCTCCGGGACATTAGCAACGACTAGTTTGAAGATGTCTATAAAAGATAAGGTCTTTAAAGCCAACAAGTAAGAGCGAGAGTGTGTGTGCTTACAAAGAATTCTAAAATCTCTTACTTGTTGTGTACTGAGCAAAAAGCTCCTGCTTGTCGATAGCACTTGCTGCATTATAATTGTGTTGAAGTTTCAAGTGTACCAAGTGATAGCAGCATCCACCTCCTGGTAATATGATCTACAATCTGATAGGAGTGGTGCTTGCTGAAGTGTAACTTGATCAGCAAATTACTAGTGCAATCCAGCCCAATTTGTGGCTGTTAATGGTGAGAGTGGACGTAGGCTTAGAGACAAAGGCAAACCACTATATATCTTTGTGTGCAGCTGTTTATACTTATGTTTATCATCTCTAGCATACAAGTGATACATTGTCTCTCATACATTTGGTGTTTTCTAATATCTCTTTGTTATACGCTGTTTTCCGCAAAAACTGTAATATCTTTCAAAGCAACCTATTCACCCCCCCCCCCTTTAAGTTACGTAATTAGTCCCAACAATTGGTATCAGAGCCTAGTTGCTCGTCTTGAGAAAAGTATTTCTTCTGAGTATAAAGATCTTCTCTTATAGCTAACTTTGGTGGTTTTATTACTGGTGATGCTCTTGCTTCTAACAAGCCGTCTTACTTTGATGGAAGCAATTACAGCTACTACAAGAACAGAATGCAAGCATATCTTGAAGCAACTGATCTTGAAATATGGGACGTGATCCAACGTGGTGTGGAAATACCTGTACCTACTACTACACAAAGAACTGATCAAGAAGTTCTAGCAGAGAATGCTGCTGCCAATATTACAGCGGCACATAACGCAGAGGAAACATGAAGAAGAAGAGTAGTACATAATGCAAAAGCTAAACATCTTCTATAGTGCTCTTTATCTATGACTAAGTATAACAAAATTTGCACATATGTAACAGCTAAAGAAATCTGGGATCTACTGAAACTCACGTACGAAGGGACTGACCGAGTAAAGGAGATGAAGCTAATCATCCTTCTTGGACAGTACGAGCTCTTCAAGATGAAATCAGATGAAACAGTAGCTCAAATGTTCAACAGGTTCACAGACATAGTGAATGGCCTTGCAAATCAAAGAAAAATATTCACCAATTGAGAAAAAGTGAACAAACTACTAAGAGCCTTACCAAAAGAATGGAACAATGTGAAAACCTCAGTTCAAGAAACAACGAGGATTCAACCAATCACGTTGGAAGAACTGATCGGAACATTCACATCCTATGAAGTAGAACAGCAAATCGAGGAAGGTAGCTCAAAAGGTAAGAAACCCATAGCCTTTAAAGCTAACAACAATGATGCAGGTGATCTATTATCATCTGAGGATGGAGGTGATGATGAAGACATGGCGCTATTCCCTCGAAGGTTCAACAGCCTTACAAAAAATGGAGGAAAATTCAAAGGCAAACGACAAGTGAAGGTTCCTGAGGAAAGAAGATTCTACAAGAGCAAGGAAGAACTCAAAGGTAGAGATCCTGTTTGTTATGAATGCAGAAAACCAAGTCACATAAAGCCAGATTGCCCATTGCTCAAAAACAAGAGAGGAAAGTATGAGAAGAAAAAGAAAGCACTGAACGCCGAAACATGGAGTGAATCAGAATGCAAAATTAGCGACCAAGAAGAAGCAAACCTCTATTTGATGGCCGATTCGGATCATGAAGAAGAAGATGAGGTAATTCAGCCTGAACTTTCTTATGAAGAAATACATGACTTTTTAAAGGAAATGTTTGATGAATACATAAAGGCTTCAAAAAGAATTTCTATTTTGAAAAAGAAAGTACTAGAT